TTTAAAAGATGAACACGGGGATAAAAGCTGTATTTAAGACAGTTGGGTGTGCAAAGAATCCTCGACTTACGATCACAGCTGATCTCAAAATTTCTGTTGTTAAAGCGAGACATTTGTTAACTGAGTTTTGCCCCATGTGGTAACTCAAGGACTACCTGTACTGATGACAAGATTCCTCAAAATCTGGATTAGTTTAGCATCCATGTAGATCTTTCAACTGTTAAAAAAATAAACCATATAAACATGGGTCGACTATTGGGATAGATGACAGAAAAAGAAGAATTATAGTTGCAACTATAGAGCGAGGGGTAAACTTATAATTGTATTTATATCTTCTGTAGAGGAGTGAATAAGCTACTCCTTTGTATCTTTTTTCTTTCTGTTTTTTTTTTCCTTTTCCTTTCTTGCACTTCTCTTTGAGTTCTCTTTTCTTTTTCTTACTTTGTATTAGTTTGTGTTAGTTTCGATAGTTAGTTTTGGAAAAGATCGGACAGCCATTGGTCTGGAATGGAATGAGAGCTCCAGCCCTGGGCAGGGGTTGTATTAGAAAAGACCAGGGTCCCTTCCAGCCTTACGATTCGATATTCAATTTTAAAATCTTTTAATAAAATTATATACAACTTGAAGACAAGGTGACAAGGTCTCTCCACCAGCAGAGGGAGCTAGAGACTTTTATTATTGAGAAATTTGTGTCTCATCACACAAGTAAAATTTCCAGTCTCTCTTGAATGCAGTTAGAATTGCATCGTTCACACACACACACACACACACACACACACACACACCAAAGATGGGGTTGGTTTGCTTTTTCCACGTACAAAAAGTTTTTAATATTGGAAATTTTGGGCATGGGGAAGTGCTGAAAACAATCCAATTTGGGCTGAGGCAAAGGCTGTTTTTGTCACCGTTGACAAATTGTGTGTGTGTGTCTGATTTCTGGTTGCTTCTCTCCTGGATTAGTTTCCATCCGTTGCTCCTTGTCCTGCCTTCTTCAGGTGCTTTGGAGAATAAGTCACTTTTTTTCTGGAAAGCCGAGGGGAACCTGTCATCTTCGGAGAACCACAGCTTGCCGGTTTCCTGGTTTATAGGACGCTGGGAAATGATCTTGGCTCTCTATTAAATTTCAGATGGACTAGAAATCTTGCCTGGAACTTGGTCCCTTCCTTCCTTCTTCTCTTCTGTTCTTTGGCGTTTCAACTGAGTCACGAGGCAATGATGACATCTAGGAAAAGGCCCTGAAGATTAACTAAAGCCGCAGCTCCTATTTTAAAACCCAGTTCTGGGTAGAAAGTTCTCCTTTCCTTCCCTTATCTTCTTCCAAGGAATGTACTGGCAAAACTGAGTAGAGGAAGGGAGGAGGAGCAGGGGAAATAATAGTTTATTTTTACCCCAAAGGGGGAGGACCGGCACTCTTTATCTCACGCTCCCAACGATTGGCTCAGCAGCTAAAAAAATTACAGAAGAGCGGATCTTTCCTTTTTAAAAAATTTAAAATCAAATTACAATAAAGTCAATAAAAAGAAAGAAATATAAGGATAAAAGATGGTAAGCGTCAACGGCACTGCTAAGCAACAGCAGAGTAGGAGTCATCCAGATCTCAGGATAAAAAGTAAATAGGTAAATAAACATAACATGGATGGATGGACAGATAGACAGATGATAGATAGATAGATAGATAGATAGATAGATAGATAGATAGATAGATAGATAGATAAATCATAGATGATAGAGCATAGATGATAAATTGATAGATAGGGAGGAAGAGAGAGAGATACATGCATACATACATATTAACGATGATTTGGTCCAATCTCCGTGTGTTCCGCATTGAACGGTCAAGTTGATTTGACTTCTTGACTTACATCAGAGGCTTTGAATCGCTCTGGAAAATTCAAAGGACATGTACACAAATGTTTTTGCTTGACCCAGGGTCAGCTTTTCCTGATTTTCCCCCAAATTTGTTTAAAAATTATTGAATGTTTTTTTTTAATCCTCGAATCAATTGGACCAGCTAGGTTTGGCCGAATTCATGTCATCTTGGCAGACAACAGGATCGGAAGTCAGTTAAGAATTTTTGAATCCTAAGGTCTCCTGCCTTGAGCAGGGAATTGAAAACCTTTGAAATCTCATCCAGTCCTATTATTCTCAGATAACAGCAAGGCTGTTCAAAATACAATCGTGCTAAGGGTGGTATCCCCAAATGGGTTCGTGGCCCAACATGTTTTGCAGAATTTTGGCAATAGGAAAAGAGTTCAGAAGAATTCAGAAGAAGAAAAAATGAAAATATTCAAAGGGTAATTTTCCCGGGGGGAATTATTTGCAGGACATCAAATTGCTTGTAAACCTTGCAAACACCTTGTCAATGTTTGCATGTGTTTACGGTATTCAGTCACGCACTTAAACACACTTACAATCTGTGCTTTTTTTTGTAAAAAAAAAAAAGTGCTGGAACTCACACACGTCATACAACCCGCCTTGCTACCCTACAAGGTTCCAACCAAAAAAGGTGCCAGAACTCCGTTCTGGGCGTTCTATGACCAAAAAAGCCCTGCTTACAATCATATCTGCTTTGCATAAACACATTTTCATGTGAACTTGCAATATCCAGACACAATTCTGTTGATAAAAGGGCCAGAACGAATTGGTGGCTTGAAAACTACAAAGAGAGAGAAACGGAAGTAAATAGATTATCTAACCTTTATCTGTATTCAGGCATTTTCTAATTTCTCTCAGGCTTGCCTTGCCAAAGGTGATGATCATAATTCTGTGAAGTCAAAACGGTCGGGGTGATGCAACATTTTAAAACTCCCTGCATCCTGGATGACAAAGCCCATCTACTATGTTCACCTAGTATGCTATATCTAAATACAGGGAGTCCTTGACTTATAACAGTTCATTTAGTGACTGTTCAAAGTCAAGCCAAGCCAAGCCAAGCCAGTCAAGTCAAATCAAGTCAAGTCAAGTCAAGTCAAGTCAAGTCAAGTCAAGTCAAGTCAAGTCATTCCTGGTATGGAAAAGTCCTTCAAAGCTATTCTCTAACTCAAGTTGGGCACCCTGGATTTGAATTCATTGAAAAGACCTAGGTGGCCATCTATACCTTAAAAGTACAACTCTAGGTGGCTCACAACCACATAGAAACAAACCAACAAAAAAAACCAATAAACAATAAAAGCAAAACCTGGTTGACTCGCCATCTTTCTCCAATACATCCAGAAAAAGGTTCCTGTTCTTCACCCTCTCCATATTTCATGATCCATTTCAAAGGCAGAAGTCTTTTGGATTCCTTGATGTCAGCGGCGGTTGCCATTGCGTCACCGTCAAGACTAAAGACCCCGGTCAACCGCAGAAGGGGAAGTATCCAGCCTCCGTTACCCTTGGGCAACTTGCTGCTGTGACCCGTGTTGACCTCAGGGAACTTGATGCCAAGCTTGGCAGAGTTGAGTTTCCTTTGGTGCCCTGCCTTGTCAGTGCTTCTTCTTTTCTGCGTGTGTGTCTGCGAGTGTGGGTTTTGTGTGTGGGAGAGGACCACGCCCAATCCAAAGAGACGACTAAAAGTAAGGTTCCCCCTTTAGTTAGTCGACTGCAGAAGAATGGTGGAGAAGTCTGTAGCGGTCGCTGTTCAACTTGGTAGGTGACGACTCTCCCCATTTCCTTCTCTTTGGGTGACAACCCTTCTGCAGGACCGATCCTGCACCCCACTTTCTTCTTCTCTTTCTTTGACCTTCTGCCTTATTGAGTGTTCAGCAAAAACTAGCTTCCTGAGGAACCAACAAACATCTGAGTAGCTTGAAAAGGGACCTGCCCATTTTCCTCCTTTAAACTGGTCTCTGAGTGGCTGGAACTTTGAGGTTGATGTGGTGTCCCATCTACAAAGTCTGGACTGCAGCAATTAGCAGAACCTCAAGAGGACCTGAAAGTCCTCCAAGGTCCATTCCAGCCCTAGGAGTCTATGACTGGTTCCAGACAGAACATGTCATGAATGCACTGCCATCTTTAATTCCACTGCAGTCATTTCATGTCAGTCTGGTTCAATTTGATTTCTATCTTGGCTCCTTGACAAGGTCCTGCCCACTGTGGGGAGTGTCCCCCGCCCCAGAAGTGACTTCAAAGAAGTTTAAACTGAAGATGTCAGATGTGAATTTTTTTTGCATATGCAAAACAGGCACTTTGCTCTTAGCTATGATCTCAAATTGGGAGTTTATTTGCATCTGTTGTTCGGTGCATATAGAGGAGAAGGAACGAAGGATCCTTGGTGCTCTCTGAGCTGGGTTGTTTTCTTGCAGATGTTTCATTACCGAACTAGGTAACATCATCAGTGCTAGAAGGGAGTGGGGTTTGAAGAGGAGGAGGACGAGGACTGTGGGGTCCTTGGTGCTCTTGCAGATGTTTCATTACCAAACTAGATAACATCATCAGTGCTAGTCAGCAGAGGAGGAGAAATCAGCACCATCTATGAACACTGACAGTTTGACTCATTGCAATTTCTGGGCACTATATTAATTTTAAATATTTAAAATAGTTTTAACACCTCTTCTTCCCATCACTCTGGAGTCAGACATTAACAGGGAAATGTTAGAGCCCTGAAAAACTCAAGAGTCAGCAAAAGGCAGCCCGGATATGGCTGTATTTCCAAAGAAGTGAATTTTCAAACCGATGCAGTTTTTGAAACGCTGAACAAAATTCCGGAAAATAAATGGCTGCCTCTGAATCATGTCAAATTGCGCTTAATTCTTGGAAGCGGCTCACAGCTGATCTCCTTCCGTTTATCTACCTTCCTGTCCAGTGTTGGTGTCCGCTTCCTGGCTTTTGTGCCCAACCCTGGTGGATTCTACAGCCAGCATCTGCTCCAGGTGTCCAGCAGATTCAGAATTTCTGCGGAAAATTCAGCTCCAGATCATGGGGTTGAAACGACCCACTCGAGACTTGTACAAATCCTATGTGAGTAAAGTTGGGTTTATTTATTTTTTAAAAAAAATGGGATTCGCCCTTATATCTGGCTGGCGTTTTCCTTTCGAAGCTTTGTGTTTTCTTATTTTCTGCTTTAAAGCTAGTCCTGGACTTACAAGAGTTCATTTGGTGACTCTTTGAAGTTATAACAGCCCTGAAAAAGGGGACTTATGACTGTTTTTCACACTTATGACCTTTGCAGCATCCCAGTGGATACGCAATCAAAATTTGGACACTTGGAAGCAGGTTCACAGTTATGACGATTGCAGAGGAGGCTGCAAATGGCTAAATGATCAGTCATAAGTCAAGGACTAGCTGTATCTGTTGTGGCTTCAGGTGATCCAACTAGGCAATTTTTATATCACTTATCGAGGGCTGAGCAAAACCGTATCCAAGGGCATTTGTAGAATTGTTTAATTGGAGGGAGCAAATAGGCTCCTTGGGTCCGGATTAGGACGGTCAACCACCTAGGAAGCTGTTTTGGAGGAAGCAGAAAAAGCTGAGGATTTCAGGTGATCCCCTACTCCAAAATCTGGCTCCAGATTCCAGGTATTCACACCTGAGGGCAATGCCATCTGTTGACAACCTTCCTATGCCTTCAGCAATCTCAACTGTTGCCCTCCAGATAGAGGACGCTGAAGGGCAAGAGATGGTTTCATCATCACAAGCTGAAACTGCTTTGGGTGATGTTCTTCCTGTTGGCCTTCCTGCCTGCTGACTCAAGAGACATCAAGAGACACCCTTTCCTCCCCCCCCCCGCTCCTCCTCCTCCTTGGTTTTCTTCTTTTTCCAGAATACAGAATAACACAACTTCTGAGTAGCTGAAGATCTTCTTCTAAGTCTTCTAGTTCAACTTCTTACTCAGGCAGGCGATTCTATACCATTCTTTTTCCTTCTCCTTCTCCTTCTCCTTCTCTTCCTCCTTCTCTTCCTGCTCCTCCTTCTCCTCTTCCTCCTTCTCCTTCTCTTCCTCCTTCTCCTTCTCTTCCTCTTCCTCCTCCTCCTCCTCTACCATCACCATCACTACGCTTATGTTTTGCTTTGGCTCTATATTCAGGGATATTACCTATCTGAATAATGCTTTTTTTTCAAAAGGCCAATGATTTATGACTTGCCCCTCTGATTTTACCCCCAGCTGTCTCACATGGGCCTGCAGGACGACCTGCGCCTGTTTTGCCAGTTGCCCGTCGCTTGGCTCCCCAGTAGAAATATCACAAAGAAGCCGGAGAGGCTGCTCTTGCAAGAACTCTACACGACTGTGGTCCATATGGAGAGGGCTCTGAAGGCCTTGGAAAATCAGCACGCGGATGCAGAGATGCCTTTGTCCCACCAGCTGGCGACAGTCTCTCTCTCACTCACCGGCCTCCTTTCGAACATCCAGTGTGCCCACTGCTTGAGGGGCCTTCGCCCGGTCCCCGTCACGCCTTCGGAACGGACCCGAGACTCCTCGTCCTTCACTCAAAAGATGGAAGGTTGCCAGGTCCTCTGGAATCTCTCCAGCTTCATCAGGGGTTTAGCAAAGGTTTTCCAAAAGGAAAAGGTGAAAGGCAAAAGACCCGAAAGGCAGAAGAAGAAGAAGAAGAAGAAGAAGGGAAAAATACATCGCTCCTTTCTCTCGGCAGGGATGCCGTAGAGCATGAAACAGAGGTGTCATTCAACCAGTCATGTTCGTTGAGTTCAAGGGTTATCCCAGGGCGGCCGAAAAATGGTTATCAGTGGGATCCTGAGCGTTTCTCTCCAGTGATTCAGTAACCAGTGATGCTGCCTGACTAAACCTCTTGATGCTACAAAAGTCAGAATGATCTGTAGTTTGATTTGCACGCGTGTGATTTTTCACATTCAGTTTCTGCTCCCAAGAGGTCTCCCTCCATTAGCTAACTCCATCGCTGGGGTGGAAGAAAAATTCTACTCTCTTTCTACCCGCCCCACAGTTTTCATTCCATTTGAACTACCTTACCTGTGAAAGAAATTCTTTTCAGGGAGGTCATGTTTGCAGAGGGTGGGTTAAGATTGCACGTAAAGGCTGCACATTTAATGTGGTGGTTGAATTTATCCCTTTTTGATGGGTTCGTACAATCCACATGGCTGCCCGTGGATGAAACAGGCTGTGCAAACGGAATTACTAAATGCAAACTAAGATTAACACTAATTCCTGCTATTCGTGTTGCAAAAAACATACTTGACCTGGTTAAACATGAAGTTGATGCAGGGATGCGATGTGTGAGAGTTGTTGTTTATTGTCAATGGTTTCATGGTTCGTGGCCTTCCTGACACCCTACAAAGTAGACCACATCGAGAAAATCATAGAAAAGCTATGTAACTTTGTTGAGCTAGGCCAATGTGTGAAAAACTAAAACATCTCAGCAGATGGGTGGACTTCGACTCCCAGAATTCCTCAGCCAGCATGGTGGACGTTGGTCCACACATCTTAAAAGTTGCTGAGAAATACTGAGATAGAGTACAGTATAGCAGTGTTTCTCAACCTTAGACTTCAACTCCCAGAATTCCCGAGCCAGCATGGAAATTCTGGGATTTGAAGTCCATACCTCTGAAATTGCTGAGGTTGCAAGGGATACAGGTTTCCAATTTCTTGAAATTCTTGAAAATCATGCATCGTGCGAATTGCTGGTGGATTCTGGGAGCCCACCCATCTCAAAGCATGCTGGTTGGGGAATTCTGGGAGTTGAAGTCCACCCATCTCAAAGTTGCTGAATCTGAGAAAGACTGAGATCGGATAAAGTAATAGAATCTTTCCATTTGATGCCGAGGAAAGATTTTGAGAGCCTCCTGTTGACTTTTTCCAAAATAGGAAACGACTCTCCTGGTTAAGGATAAATCCTCTTCTTGAAGATGGTCAGAGAAACCATCTTTTGCCTGGAAAATATAGGAGGAGGCGTCCTTCTTGTTCCGCAGCTCACAAATTGGGTGGGTCCCTTCGAAAAGGCCATTTGTGCCCAGCTGTTTTCTGAGACGTGTAATATGATTTCATTATTTATTGAACTTCATAGATCCTCAGTGTCTGAAAGCCTATTTAAAATGTTGCAATTGGTATTTATATGAAGGATGTTTGCGTTTTGTTTTGGGTTTTTTTGTGTGCGTGGGGCAGGGTGGGGTGGGAAAAGATTGTTTCATCTTTTGTTATCCTGGACTGGTTTAGCTCTGAGATTATTTCGTCTGGCATATTTATTACTTTGGCAGAACAAACTGGTGCATGAAAATATTATGTTCATTAGAACTGGGTCTTCCTGGCTGGGAAGAACATCCTTTTATGCAAAAAAAAAAAAAGTTGTATCCTGTTCCTGATAACTAATACAATTATTGTCCTTTGGATATTTTCATAAAATACGTTTTTTTTTAAAAAAAAAAATTGTATGAAGTGTGTTTTTCATCAGCTCTTTAAGGGTTTGATTCACCCAAATGGGGAGATAGGATTTTCTAAGCAATTGATCAGTCTTGGTTATTGCTCTGTTCTCTGGTTCAGAGAGTAAAAAATATCCTTTTTTGGAAGGAAGGAAGGAAGGAAGGAAGGAAGGAAGGAAGGAAGGAAGGAAGGAACGAAGGAAGGAAGGAAGGAACGAAGGAAGGAAGGAAGGAAGGAAGGAAGGAACGAAGGAAGGAAGGAAGGAACGAAGGAAGGAAGGAAGGAAGGAACGAAGGAAGGAAGGAAGGAAGGAAGGAAGGAAGGAAGGAAGGGTTTTTTCTTCTCTTTCCTCCTCCTCCTCCTCCTCCTATTTTATCTTACTCTTTTATCTTTACCTACTGCATTTTATTCTATCTTACCTCACGGTAGCTATTTTATCTTACTGTATCTTATCTTATCTCTTTTTGTTGTATTTTATTATGGGTGATGCTCATGTTTGATGTGGTCTATTGACCAATTAATAAAGTATACCCAATCATCATACCATGTGCATTAGTCCCCCTGGAACGCACACCGCAAGGCATGTGGCATTACCGTTTTTGTTTTCAATTGATTTAAAAAAAAAAAGTCTGCTAGTTAGAAACACAGCTGTGGAGGAATTAAAATTTAAAGCACAAAGATTACGGGACTGCCCGGGCCCCTGGAATGTGGTGAGTGTGGAGGGGAAGGGGAATAGGGGTAGATATCGTTTATCATCAAAGAAGTGGAAGTGAGGGACAAGGAGAAACGTAGAAACGTTTTCCCTTTGATATGGGGAAGGATAATGCAGTTATTTCCTGCAATCCTCCAGGCAACTAGACTGTTGAAAGTGGGTGCGGTGGAAATAAAGCGGGGTGTTATGGGAGGACAAGGGTGTCTGGGGTGGTGTGTTTGTGCCAAAAAAGTCAGAATGGTGGCCACAGTAATGTGACCAAACCCTTCGGTGTAGTGGTTAAGGTGCTGGCTAGAAACCAGGAGAGGGTGAGTTCTAGTTTTGCAGCTGGGTGAGACTTTGGGCCATGAAAGCCGGCTGGGTGTTTTTAGGCCAATCACCAGGAGATGGTGAGTTCTAGTCCCGTCTTAAGCATGAAAGCCAGCTGGGTGATTTTGGGCCAATCACCAAGAGACCCTGAGTTCTAATCCCACCTTAGGCATGTAAACTCACTGGGTGACTTTGATTAAAAAAATCAACTGAAAGCAAAAACTCTCTCTCTCTCTCTCTCTCTCTCTCTCTCTCTCTCTCTCCCTCCCTCCCTCCCTCCCTCCCTCCCTCCCTCCATCTCTTTCACTCATCCCAGGAACTGGGTATGTCTAGCCTAAGGAAGAGAAGGACTATTATTTATTTATTAATAAGACTTATATGCCGCCCTTCTCCCCCATGGGACTCAGGGCGGCTCACAGCATATTAAAAAACAATACAAACATTTCCCTATAAAAGCCAATTAAAAACCAAATATTTGTAGCTGTGTCTAGTTTAAAATCATTAAAAATTGTCCCTATTTAAAAATTCACCCTAGGTCAGTCCCGCTTGCTGAAAAAGCCATGTCTTGAGGGCGCGGCGGAAGGTTAAGAGATCCGGAATCATCCGAATCTCGGGGGGTAGTTCGTTCCAGAGGGTGGGGGCACCCACAGAGAAGGCCCTCCCCCTGGGGGTCGCCAGCCGACATTGCTNGCGTACCCGGAAGGCCACTGGCAACCAGTGCAGCTCGCGCAGCAGCGGCGTTACATGGGAGCGACGTGTCGCTCCCAACACCGCCCGCGCGGCCGCATTCTGGACCAGCTGAAGCCTCCGGATGCTCCTCATGGGGAGCCCCATGTATAGAGCATTACAGTAGTCCAGGCGGGAGGTGACGAGGGCATGAGTGACCGTGGGTGACATGATAGCAGCCTTCCAATGTTTGAGGGGCTCCTACAAAGAAGAGGGGGTCAACCTATTCTCCAAAGCACCAGAAGGCAGGATAAGAAACAACGGATGGAAACTAACCCAAGGAGAGAAGCAACCTAGAACTAAGGGGAAATGTCCTGACAGTGAGAACAATTCATCAGTGGAACAAAGTTGTGGCTGCTCCATCACTGGAGGCTTTTAGGAAGAGATTGGGCAGCCCTTTGTCTGGAATGGTCTAGGGTCTCCTGCTTGAGCAAGGTTGGACTAGAAGACCTCCAAATCTGTGTTATATAAAAAAAAAATCTAGTAAATAAATAGATAAAATAGGAAAAGAGATTTTGATGACTGATGGTTGCCATTGTCTTTTTTTTTTTTTTATTTACACTCCTTCCCGGTTGTCCCTGTGGGAAGAATAATGTTAATTGAATGGAGATGTGATGCATTCCCCTTGAGTAGATCGAAATATGCACCAGGAAAGAAGACAACAAAGGCTTCCAAGATAGCCAAGAGGTTCGGCCTGACTAATAAAAAGTATTTTGCCAAAGGGAGAACATCCCGGGGAAGGTAAGGAAGAAAGCAAGCATGCAGATATAGCTAGGCGTACTTTAAGATAACCTCCCTGCGATAAAAAAATAAATAAAATAAGATCTTTTCCTCTATCCTCCCCCTCGCCTTGCCTTGATTTCACCTTTCTCCGTTTTCCTCTGGTGTCCAGAAGGCGTTAAGACGTTTGGTATGAATTGACTCTTGTTTCACAATTGTCTTTGCTGGAATATCTCTCGTCACCCGATTTCCACACTTCATCCGCTTCTTGCAGCTAAGTAAGGTGAGAGGTGAATTTAGCAGTTCTGGACAAAAGCACAGGAAATGAATTGGCACCCTTGGGGAGGGGGGGGAAGAGCGGGGATCTGATCCAGGGGCTTGCCATGCTGGTGCAGACATTGCAGGGAGGAAGAAGGTAGGATGGAGCACCACTTGTCATCCAAGCAGCTGCCAAAGATTGCAGGAGCTTCCAAGGGGAATTGCAACCCCCCTGGAATCAGGCGTAGCGTGCTAACAGGGTTAGTTCCTGGCTGAAAAAAAAAGCTCCTTCATTCTCTTCTAGCACTTTGCGTCAGTCGGATGTAAGAGTGTTACTTCCAGCATTTTGTGCGGAGGAGAAAAAGTGTGTGTATGCGTGTGAGTATTGTGATTTTCATTATGTAATCCTTTGTCCAGTAGTCTGCTATGGTCAGTGTTTCTTAAACCTTTTTCTCCGAGGTTGCCGCCTTTTAAAAATTATGGAGGACCCCAAAACAGATTTGATTTCTATGGTTACATTTATTGGTGCTTGACCATATTAGAAATT